GCTCTCAAAATGTATTTATAACCCTTTTCTACCATCTACTGCCCAGCTCCCTACCTGTCGCACAGCAGCTCAGTAGTACTGAGCAGATGTCTCTTCAATGTAACAAAATAATGCAAAAGAGGTATACATTGGGGTGTGTTCCTGAGATGTGGGAAGAGTGGAATAAGGATTTAGGTTCCTCCAATGTGGAAAGGATTCACTAAGACAGAAATCACTCAACTCAAACTGGTAGAAACTCATCAACCCTAACAATTATGGATATGTGGTTTTAAAGTTATTAACATTGTATAATACAGAGACCACAAATTACTGACCTTCTTCTTGGCCCTATGTCCAGACACTAGTGGACAACAGTGGAGATGCTTGGAAGTGGGGCCTTGGAGAGCAGGCTGCAGGGGATGGGGAGGTCTTTGGAAGGAGCCTGTGAGACACCAGTCCCCCTTTCTTGTTATGGTCTTGAAGTGAGTGGCTTTGTTTCCTTATCCTCCTCTAGGTCCAAAGCAATGGGACTAATTGATCATTGCCTGAGAGCTCCAAGCTGCCAGCCACAGTAAACATTGTCCCTGCATGAACTGAAGGTCTCAACTATTTGCTACAATAACAGAAAGCTGACAGACACACTTGTAAAGTAGTATTCTGAGCATCTTGGAAAAATGATCTAGTAAAGCAATAATTAAGTTAAAAGGCTGATCTAGAAAGAGTCTCAAGAAGAAGGGTCTGGGTGCTGCTAGAAAACATGGCTATAGGTAGTAACTTGTGGAATAAAAACAAAACAACAACAACAAAATCCTGGGAAGCAGTGTCAGACACCTGAGAGTTCTATGCCTAAGGCATCATTTAATGAATAGATCTTTAATTACGTGAAAGTAAATCCAAAGTCTGGCATATAAACGGCTATCAGTGACTTACTGGAGTCCCCTCAGAAAGTGACAGAATTGCTAAAATAGTTAGCTCCTTTATGATATGGAAAGAGCTAAATAAAGGAAAGCTCATACTTATCCCGTGAAAAACGCTGCCCCATAGGGGGCACCATAACCAATCAGCTCAACACGATCTGACTTGAGAAAAGCAAACCAGGGGTTTCCAAGGAAATTCAGCATGTAGGGAGGTCAGTCTCAGGACAGTCATGGCATTGCCAGAACTGGAGTTAACATTTCATCAAACAGTTGCTACATCAACCATTTCCATTCTCCTTGTTCTTTGGTAACACACTCTTGTCTTCAGCTAATATTTGGGGAGGCCTGCTCTTTGTTAGTCACTAGGGTGTCAGTCTTGGCCTTTTCTGCTGCTAGGTGGATTTCCACGTGTGCACATCAGGTGGGGAGAATGCTAAGGAGGAAAATAAAGCCAGGCAAGGTGATGGAAAGCAGCTGAGGCAGGGAGGGAGAGGGGGAAGCCGGATCACTGGACGTGGAAACAAAGGCACAGGGAAGTTTCAGTGGGCTGTGTGGTATCCGAGAAAAGAAGGTTCTAGAGAGGAAACACCAGTGGGAAGGCTGCAAGGAGGGAACTCCTGATACCCCTGAGACATGAGTGCAGTGGAATTGCAGCCAGCAGAGTTCTGAGGCCAGAAGGAAGAGTGTGAGACAGAGGTAAGGCAGCGCCTGGTGGTGCAGGGATGTGAGCTCTTCAGAGGAGAGGACGTGGCCCTGAACCAGCCTCGTGACCACTGGAGGTTTTTGAATGATGTCATCTGAAGCTCTTCACCCTGGTGGGGAAAAGTCAGGACCTCACGTCCAGCATGAGAAGGGTTCAGTCAAGACTTGAACATAGTCAGAATGGTGGGGGAGTTTATCAGGAAGGGAACATGGCTGAGGAAGCAGATTGCACGGTAGTAGAATGCCATGGGGAGTTAGCATGTCAAGTCCTCCTCAGCCATCTTCAGAATATCAATACGAGTGTTCAGTTTAACACTTGTGGGCAGGAGATAAAGGTGTGGGTCGTGTTTCAGAGTCCTGGTGACAGGTGAGGCCTGTTTGGTCATTAGCTCAGCCGGGTTCTCCCAGATTCTGGCAAAGTTACAACCGTTATTACTGGAGGGGAGCACTTTGGCTCCCACGAGATGAGTTCTTTGGCTCTAGACTAGTTCTCCTCCTGAGAGGGTGATCTGTCCTGCAAGGCTGTGTGTTTCCTCTGTCATAAGGATGTTCTTGATCAGTCTTGTCCTCCTGAGAACCCAAAGTGGCAAACACAAAATGGAAGCAGAGATGTCAGGCAAAAAGTTTAAATGCCTGTGACAAACACACTTTTTTTTTGTCGGTCATTGGGGCTTGAACTCTGGGCCCGGGTGCTGTCCCTCAGCTCTTCAGCTCAAGGCTAGCACTCTACCACTTGAGCCACTGCACCACTTCCAGCTTTTTTTCTATTTATGTGGTGCTGAGGAATTGAACCCAGGGCCTCAAGCATGCAGGGCAAGTACTCTACCACTGAGCCACCTTCCCAGCCCTGACAAATACACTTTCAAGAGTGGAAAAGTGGTGAGAATAACAGCATGACTTTTGATATTTGAGTATTTAGTGGGATTGGCTAGGAGCAGTTCTGCTCCTAAGTCCAATCAACAGGGCCCAGGTCACCTGTGGGTGGAAGTCTTGACATGGAGATGTCACTCTCTCTCTGTGGCTCACTCTGCCCTTTTCCCATCATTCATATTAGCTGCTGCCCGCCTGCCGGCCTGCATTCTGTGTGGGGGTGAAGGTGAAAGGGCAGCAGACAGGTGAGTGTCACAGTGGCAATGCAGCCAGAGCCAATGGCAGCTTTGAGCAGAGCGGTGATCGTGGGGTTGAGGGAATCAGTGCTCAATTTCTGAAAACAGTAGTCCTCCCTTTTCGGCAGTTTGGCTTTCCACAGCTTCGGTTATCCACAGACAACCTGAGATCCAAACATGCAGAATGGATAATTCTGCAAAGAAACAATTCCTACGTTTTTCAATCATGTGCTGTTCTGAGTAGAATGATGAAATCGAGTGTCCTGCTTTTCCACCCTTCTACGGTGGTAAGAACCCCTGTATCCAGGACACTCATGCAGTATGTGTTACCCGCACACGGGTTGCTTACTGGCCACCGTAGTGTTGGAGTGCTTGTGCTCAAGAAACTCCTCTTTTGTAAGGAGTTGACCCCAAGCGTAAGAATGGTTATTCTGGACAGGTTTACTGAGAACTCCTCTTGTTCTGTTCAATTATTGTCATTGCTAGCCTCTTGGCCTCGCTTCTAGATGAGCTTCCTCAAAACTGTGCAGGAATAAGTTACAATACAGCAGGCATCAAATGTGTTGTGCATTGCCAGTAGCTTCAGACATCCACTGGTTTTTAGAAGCTGTGGATAAGGAAAACGTTAAACCCATGGAAACTAGAACAGAGAAGATTCTTGGCAGCTTGGGCAGGGAAGCTCCTTTAATGAAATGGAGGAGAGTGTATTCTGAAAATCTCTAAAATTAAGCCTCTCTCCTCCCTCCATTTCTCCCTCCCTCCCCTTCCCCCCCTCACACACACACACACACACTCTCTCACAAACACACATGCATACACACACACACACAAGCTCACTTCCTCCTACACTCTCCTCTTTGACAACTTATCAGTTGGAAACTACATTGATCTACAGAGTTGTGTCCAGCACTCATCTCATAAACTGTCTTCTCTGGGTATCATGCCCATGCCCCCCCCCATACCCTGTATTTCCTAGCGGTTAGCAGTTAGCTCCCTAAGAGTGGCCAAGGCCAGGCTGGATTTTTGTTAGCGCTGCTTTGCAGGGAAGATCAGCTGCGGGCTCTCACCAGAGGCACTTAGACTCTTCTTCCTGCTTAGTGTTTGTGGAAGGTGTTCAGCATTGCTAAGACCCCCCACTAACGTAGAAGTTATGAAATGATGAGACTCTATTATTTAGTCTTCTATTAGCTAAAGTATTTCTAAAAGGAGAATACTTAGCTACACTGTAGGAAAAGCTATGCGAAATGTGTGATTCCTTGTATTTACTAATATTAAAAATGAATGTGTCACCCAGTATCTTCTGAAATTTAGTGTTTACAATGTTTATTTTCTTTTCCTTTTGAAAGAAATGATTTATTGTAGTAGAACAGGTGAAGGTAGAAATGGGGGAGATGGAAGAAAAAGGCTATAAATTTTCTTTTCTCCGTGTTGGAAATAGAAGTAAACTTCAGATTTTTCCCCCTTTTAAAAAAAAGGATAAAAGTTCCACAAATTTGTAGCCTTAGACCTATGTAATGTGTTTTCAGCCATTGTTGGAAATGCTTATTGGTGTCCACCACGGTCCCTTCCTTTTATGAGGTTCTTGGAACTGTCTATCATCAATAGCGTGCATGTCCCTGGCTCCTCCTAAGTCACGTTCTTTTCTAGGCCTGCAGTCAATCATGTCTTTAGTGCTTCCAGTTTTCTCTTTATAGAAAATTTAGTGTTTGGCAGTAAACCTGTTGAATCTTAATTTTATCTTATAACTTCTTCTACATTTCTCACACTAAGATAATAATGCTCCTGAAGCATTCCACAGTTATAGAGCCTTTCAATATCAGATGGTGTACATCTAATTGTGCCTGAAAGGTTAGGGTGAAAGCAATATGTGTTGATGAGATGAAGTTGCACGTTCCGGCCAGAGCACACAGCAGGTAGGAAGCTCTCCGTGGCCTGCAGGAGTCACAGTTCACTTAGGAAGGAGCGGCCACTATCTGACCAGAAGATGATTGATGGCTTGCGAAGTCTGGAGGAAGTCAGAGCACTGTGCGCTTCACCTTTAATACCAAGACACCAACCAGATACACAAGCTCTTTTTTTGTTTATTTCAAGAGGTATCTTTCATTTATTTTTCACCAAACACTGTTTCTCCGCTTTGTTCTAATGAGCAAAACATGGGCCTGAGAAAAGAGTAATCCTGTGAAGCTCGCCATCCTGAACTCTTCTGTGTCAGTGCTGTGAGACTAGCAGGTGAGAGTTAGAGCATCTAAAGAAGTCTTTGCATACTAATGTCCTGCTCGTTTTCTTCTGCCCACAGAGGACAAAGTGTGGACCATCGTGTCTCATGACTTGCAGATGCAGACCACAGTGGTGGGATACAACCCAGAAAAGTACTCGGTGACCCAGCTCCTCTACAGCGCCTCCATGGACCAGATTGGCGCCATCACCAGCAGCGCAGAGTACTGCGAACAGTACGTCTCCTACTTCTGCAAGATGTCCAGGCTGTTGAACACCCCAGGTAGGCTGAGCATGCACTGTTACTTTTAATTACGATCGCAGCTGGTGTTTGGAATTGCCTAAACAATCCAACAGGTGGAGTTTATTATCTTGGAGTCGGGGCTTTAATGTGCAGACAGCTGTAAATAAGTAAGATATAATCACTTGGCTAGTGTTCTGGAAAACAAAGCAAAGAATATGTGATTTAGGAAAAAAAAAAAAAGGAAGTCCACTATTTTAATTTCCTAGGATTTTCAAGTTCCTGCGCCTGTATGTATGCCTGAATGTGTCTCATCCTTTATGATCGGTAGTTTGTCAGAGCTTCTGGAGACCTTGGGAGTCAGTCCCTTTGAGTTCCACAGAGAGGTACCTTTAATGTGACAATGCAAGAGTTCTGAAGGCTTCTGCCAGTAAACAGCCTACAGAACACTGACGGAGTTTAGAGGCCTTTGTTGTCTAAAGTCATTGAACAGTATCTGTTTTACTCAAGAAGCCCAGCCTGAATGTTTTTCATGAGATCCTACTTTTAGCAATGTGTGTGTGTGTGTGCACATATATATGTGTGCACAAGACTCTCTTGGGGCATAGAGCACAGAGAATGATAGGGGTAACTTAACTGAAAGAAAGTTCCATGTGTTTTGAAAGTCTTGGCATTAAACCCAATATATGGTCAGAAAACTATGTCCCTTGGTCTATAGCTCAACATAGGATAAAGATCATAAGTTATCACTCAAGGACACGTGACAGTGGTTTGCACTCTGGACCTTTTTAGGTATGTGGCTTGGGAGAGGGAGTTAATTTAACTCTTAATTTATCTGAACTGATAAATAAAAATGCATATGTTTATGTGTCACTTGTTTTGGAACATGTAGCTTTCACGAGATGGATAAATAAGCTAATTAGCAGAAGCATTGCTTATCTTTTTGTGAGGGGAACACTTAAAGTCTCGGTTTTTTGTGTCTGAGATCCTAATGCCTACTTCAGGAGACTGTGAGAATTTAATAGGGTAATATATTATGCACTTATAGAGCTTGATACATTTAAGGACACAAGTAGTAAATGAGATATTGATTTTTTTTTTTAAATAAGCCGTGTTGAAAGGGGTCTTGTGCCATGCTTGGTCCCCAGGCTTTGTCATGTCCAAATCAGTTGTGGGGAGTGGCTTGTTGTGGAAAGTGAGAAGCAAAATAGTATACAATATGGTGAAGTAGGGAGTGTTTCTCACAGGCAAAGTCCTGTGTTCTGTTTACAAGGAGTCCTGCGAACTCTAAGAAAGTAAAGCTTGTAAAACATGAAAAGTGTTGGTTGAGAAAATTAGGGGTTGTCTTATTTGGAGAATGACTGTGGTTAGGTGCTGGAGGTAATGTGTCATTGAAGAAGCAGAAAGGCAATTCCAGGCTGCTGTCCAATAATGAGAAATGATGTGGGAGGCAGGATTGACCATAGAAATGACCCTTGAGGTCTTGGTAAGAAGCCCCAGATTGGAGTGGGCAACTGCACAGGTTGGGTAGGAAGAGAGGCTGCACTCTGCTGGGAGCCCAGCCCTACTCCTGTGGCCAGAGCTTCTCAGGCCGGCATATTTTGGTCTCTAGTCTCTAAGGATTAAGAAAGAAGACATAGATCGCTGGGCCCCATTCCCTGGGATTTTGACTCCATCAGTCTGAGGAGAGTCCTGAATTGTGTCTCCCCAAATTCCTGTGATGAAACCCAAAATCCTAAAAGTGACTTTGTTTGGAGATAGGATTTTTAAGAAGTCACGAGTAAAGTGACAACGGGAAGGCTCTCATGCCAGTCGCACTGGTGGCCTTGAAAAGAATACAATGAAAGTCCTGTCTCTGACCTGCAAAGACACAGAACAAAAGGGGTCCCCTTGCAAGTTGGGAAGAGAACCCTGCCCAGAAATGAGATCCCTGACTGTGGGGAAATAAATTCCTATACCTCAGTTTCCCAGTCCGAGCGGATCGACGCTAGGAATCTCCGAGGAGTGATGGTCTTGTTGGACTGGAATCCCGCTCTTTGCGGTCGGGGGAGAGCCCGCGAGGTCCCCACCCTCCAGCAGGTGTTTCTATTGGCCTCACTTCTCACAGATTTTCCTCAGCAGTTCCTGTTCGCAGGCCTACAGGATTCAGCCCCCAACTATGGAAAACTGAGGCTTCAACTCACAATTTATAGGAGAATGTGAGTTACATTTTCTATATAGGGTCACCATACTCCTCCTCAAACTCCAGGGACCCTTTTCAGGCATGAACTGCTAGACTGCCCTTGAAAGGATTTCATTTATTTTTTTAAGTCTTCACAGTAAACACATTACTTTCCGTGTGTTTCTAAAAAATCAGGGAGCACAGTTCCAGGTACCTATTGAATAGTATTGTACTTAAATTATTATTCTGTGAAAGCAGAATCCTACGTTTTTGGACAACGTTCATGGATCAAATCTTTCTCTCCTATAGCATCTGTTCTTATTAACTAGGATTTGCATGAGATGAGTAATCAATAGCCTTAAACATCACCTCCTCCAACCCTCAGGCAATTTGTTTTTAATCAGGAAGTGAACATCCCAGGTTTCAGATTCCTTTGTCGAAATTCTGATTCCATGGTCTTCTACTCCTAGGCTTGGATAGGACATGCATAGGACCAGAAATGGTTGTTTTCAGCAATGATCCATGGTTAATTTTGCCATAATGGATCAATACTGTTTACTTCCTGGGGACCTCTTCTGTTGGAATCTTATGGAAGAAGATTAGGAAAAGTATTAAGGCTTGCCTGACTGACTAAAATAAATAAAAATGATATTGCAGTTACCCACTTCTGCGAAAGTGTGTAGATTTGATAGTATTCTTAATCCCCTTGACAGAACATTATCTACATATTGTAAAATGAATTTCAGCCCCCACCCCTCAGAGTAGTAGTTTCTGTGCGCCTCACTGATCAGAAGAAGAACTGACACAGGGGAAATGAATGGGCATCGAGTTCCTTCATCACTATATTCTGTACCAGTCCAAATAAGAGAGAAGACAATTTCATAAAAGCCCTACATTTGTTGTTGTAAGGAGCTAATGTTGGCTGTAATTGGATTTTTCCTCCTTAGTGGTAGCATTTGATTTTAAATATCCATTTAGTCATTCTTAACTAAGACTGAATTATATTGGAACTTCTGTAGAAGTACTTGTGACATCTGTTGGAATACAAAGTGTATTCATGATTGTCACTGAGATGAAATGAATATCAAATGAGGTTGTAATAGCTATGCATTTAAAATGTTATTCTTTATTTTAAGAGCCTTTCCCTTCATCATTTATCAAAGGCGTTATAGTTCCTTGGATACTTATGCTAAAGTATTGATATGCTGTGGGAGCAGATATATTTTTATTTTGATAAATGTTAGTTTGTACCATATCATTATCTAGCAAATGTACAATTTATTATTGTTTCTTGCAACTTTTACCAAGATAGTAATATATGACTTGTAATATGTCTCTATTGTTACTGAAAATTTTTTAAATTGATTTTGACATTCTTTAAAGTTACCATTCCCACAGTGTAACTATTAATTATTATTAATTGACTTTATAAAAGATACAGAAATAAGTTGTTTAGTTCCACATGAACACAGCTGTTTGGAATGAAGCTATACCAATAGAGGAATAACCAGATTAGTTCTACTCAAAGAAAATCATTTGTGGTATGTGAAGACATGTCAACATGTTTAAAGTGATATCCTCAGAACTGCAAATGTAATATAACCTGTACTATGAAAGGCAAAAGTATAAAAATAAAATAAAATCTGCTTTTGAAATAAGTACCTCACAGAACTTGAATTTGATAAATTAAATCCTGAGAGAAAGCTGCAATGCATCCTACTTCAGTAGTTCTGTCAACAATCCAAATATTTTAGATGATATGATTTTCCCTCCTGTTTGGAAAGAAAAATATTAACCTACTTTTGAAGTTCTTGTTCAAATATCTTGAGATATTTATTTTATTTATATATTAATTTTACAAATCATATATGCTTTCCAATTAGGGATTTCTGGCTGAAGTATTTATTCCCTACATTTGTAAAAGCATGTTTAATCACAGAGATTTCAAGTTGCTGTGTTTCCTGTCTGTCTGGTGATATTTAGTGCTGTTTTGTTGGCTCCCAGGGTCTCATTTCTTTTAATTTCTCTATGTAGTCTAGTTCTCATAAGTCATACTTTTATTGCTTTCTTTTGTTGAAAGAAGTCATATAAATTATCCATCCTTTTGGGTAGTTTACTATTAGATTTTGTATCTATTGAAAAAGAGTTATGCTCACAATTTTTGCCTGTGAAGTAAGCTGTGTAAAATTTAATATACTTTGAGGATTCTAAACTATGATTTAGTGGCATCAGAAAGGGAAGAACGCATGAATTTAGTGTGGCAACTTACAGCCTACTTTAAGCAAAAGTTCCTAAATTTTGGTGCACTTACCAAGGGAGCGACTTTCCCAAGTCTGTGTTTTGTGTTCCAAACACCTATGATAATTGACTCTTGAGAAAACATAGATAAAATGTCATTTGATCTCAACTAAAAATTGTTTTCAGTAAATAAATTTTATTGTGACCAATCAGTGTATTAATCAAGACATTAATGAGCTATCTAATGAATTAGAGTCCAGTTGTTATATTAAGATTAATATAAGTAAACAAGACCAAAAAAAGGCCAATACGAATAACTAAAGAATACAAATAGAGGGCTGGGAAGGTGGCTCAGTGGTGGAGCGCTTGCCTTGCATGCATGAGGCCCTGGGTTCGATTCCTCAGCACCACATAAGCAAAAAAGAAAAAAGCCGGAAGTGGCGCTGTGGCTCAAATGGTAGAGTGCTAGCCTTGAGCTGAAAAGCTGAGGGACAGCACCCAGGACCAGAGTTCAGGCCCCACAACCAGACCGCCCCCCCAAAAAAAAAACAGTGGAAAGAAAGAATCTAGGTTAGAAATATCAGCATGTTCACTGATTCGATGATGGAGATCAAGTGACAGAGAGCTTACTTTGGAGCAGATG